AAGAGGTCAGAAGCAAACAAATACATAATGTTTGGTGGTGAAAGAAAATCAATGCAAGATAAAAGGACAACAATGGGATATGTGCTTTTAGGGAATGTGGTCAAGGAAGACTTTTTGGTGAGGTTAACATTATTCTACCAACATCAGTGATTTGAGAGAGATGGAGCCATGTAGATTTTGAATATTCTGGATAGAGAGATTAGTAAATGCCAAGCTTAGTCTGAGAGCTATGTTCTAGTAATAGAAAAGACGCCATTGTGGCTTAAGGGTGGGTGGTGAGAATGTTAAGAGGTGGTATCAGAAAGTTAGTTGGGGTCCAAATTATGTAGAATTTTATAGGCTATGTTAAGCACTTTAATTTTATACTGTGACAAGGAAAGCCATTGTTGGGTTTTGACTGTAATAATGATATGATCTGATTTGTTTTTAAAGGGTCTCTCTCACTGCTGTGTGGCAACAATTCTGTTGGGGGTAGTGCATTCAGGCATGATAATGACCTACTTCAGCATCAGAAGATTCAAACTTTGAGTCAAACTCTTGAATATAATGTATGTGGGAAAGTTTTCTACAAGAAAATGGGCTTTGTTGGACATAAAAGGACATACACAAGAGATAAAAACTTCGAATGTCGTGAATGTGGGAAAACGTACTGCAGGAAATCAAACCTTATTGAACATCTGAGAATACACACGGGGGAGAGACCCTATAAATGTGGTGAATGTGCAAAAACCTTTAGTGCAAGATCATACCTCATTGCTCATCGTAAAACACACACAGGGGAAAAGCCCTTTGAATGTAATGAATGTGAGAAATCTTTTGGCAGGAAGTCACAACTCATTCTACATCAGAGAACACACACAGGAGAGAGACCCTATGAATGTACCGAATGTAGGAAAACCTTTTCTGAAAAGGCAACCCTCATGATTCATCAGAGAACTCATACAGGGGAGAAACCCTATGAATGTAGTGAATGTGGGAGAAAATTTCGTGTTAAGATATCTCTTACCCAACACTGGAGAACTCACACTGGGGAGAAACCCTATGAATGTGGTGACTGTGGGAAAAACTTCCGTGCAAAGAAGTCCCTAAATCAACACCAGAGAACTCACACAGGCGAGAAACCCTATAAATGTGAGGAATGTGGGAAATTCTTCAGAATGAAGACGACGCTCAACAATCATCAGAGAACTCACACAGGTGAAAAGCCCTATCAGTGTAATGAATGTGGAAAATCTTTCAGGGTGCACTCGTCTCTTGGAATACATCAGCGAATTCACACAGGAGAGAAACCTTATGAATGTAATAAATGTGGCAATGCATTCTATGTTAAAGCACGCCTCATTGAACATCAGAGACTGCATTCAGGAGAGAAACCCTATGAATGCAGTGAATGTGGAAAAATCTTTAGTATGAAGAAATCCCTTTATCAACACCAGAAAACTCACACAGGAGAGAAACCTTATGAATGCAATGAATGTGGAAATGCCTTTTATTTGAAAGTACGCCTCATTAAACATCAGCAAATTCACACAGGAGAGAGATCTTTTGAATGTCCAGAATGTGGGAAAGCCTTTTGTCGGAAAGCACACCTCACAGAACATCAGAGAACTCACATAAGCCGGCCCTTGTTTTGTACTATGGACAAAGCTTCTCTATGAAGACTCCCCTCACCATTTGATAGAGCTCTTTGAACCATCAGATCACCAGGGCACAGAGTGCACCTGTAACAATTTGGCTCTTACATCAGTGTGAAAATATGTCCTGATATTCTTAGGGGATAGCTCATTTTTTTCGATTTCATTTGAATTTCTCTAATTAGTGGTGAGGTTGAACATCTTCCTCTCTGTTGATTAGCTGTTTGAGTTTTCTCTTCTGTGCATTGGCTGTTTATATCCTTTGCTCACTGTTTTCTAATGGGCTGTTTATCTTTTTTAAAAAGCTTTTTCACGGTTTTATTGAAATATAATAGACAATTAGTTGTTTATATTTACATTGTACAATTCAATTAGATTTTTTCAATTATAGTTGGCATATAATAATATACCAGTTTCAGTTGTACAACCTAGTAATCAGAGATCCACATAACTTGCAAAGTGGTCACCCCACTAAATCTAGTCCCCCTCTTTCCTCTTTACATATTACATTCTTAACCATCTTCCCCATGATACACTCTACATCTCTATATCTATTCTGCAACTAT